AATTGGCGCCACGTAGCGAAAAGAAGAAACGACTGGCGCGCTGTTGTTAACTCGGCTATAATCGCGTAAGCGGTGACTACGCCAATCAAGAAGAAGAAGCTATGCTGGCTACGTTATGTCGTAAAAAATGACGAAAATCCGCCAGCTCTAAAAGTATTCGACGTAGTGGCGGCCGGGGTAAACAGAGGAAGAGAAAGACCCCCACTCCGTTGGAAACACCTGGTAGAGAAGGACCTGGCTTCGCTTGGAATTCGAAAAGGAAGAACGACTGGCGCACTGTTTTAGACAGGAGACCGAAATTTTAAAGCGAAACCAAGGGTCCAAGTACTTCCGGTTGGATTGTTCGCTCAGACCACCACTACCAAGTATTCTCACTGACGAATGTATCCGCAATGACGCAATGATTACCATCATGAATTATTTTTGCCTAAACTTCCCTCGGGGATTGTGGTGAGCAACATTGAGGTCATTGCCATCGATATTCGCTTCACTACAACTTCAGCATGCAAGCATACAACTTGAGCGCAAGAATATGGATTTGAAAACGTTTGCATGAGGACAAGAAGAGGGTAGGTGGATTTGAGGAAGCAATGTATAACAGTGTATCAAACTTCTCTCCCTCCATTCCAGGACGCTGCCAAACTGACTGCACATCTTCTCTATGGCAGGCGAACAAATCCACACAACTAAAACTAACCTTCAAGTATAGAAGTGAGTGTGGTATGTTTGTGTGCGTGCACACATGGACTTAGTGAATCAAGATCGCTGCACGTTGTTATTGAGCCACAATTAGGTAGGGTCGATTAGGGTAGGCTGATGGTGCCTTACCAGACTCCATACAACGTCAATTTACAAACGTCTGAAATGGACTTAGGGTGGCGCCCAGCTTGGTGTGTATGCAGTGGTGCTTTGGCTAGGGTGTTCCTGCTGTCGTATTCATTTACGCGCGCGCGCCCGAACTCGCACATATGTACATATCATACATCTTCTTGCTAAGGATAAAATAATTGAAGTAAAGGCAATAGGCAGAAAAGGAAGGAAGGAAACAAAACCTGCGCTTCTTTCAACATCAAGAAATGCACAGCTGGCAATAATGGCAGCGCTGGTGTTGTAGACGATAGCGCACCCCAAAGTACTTCTAAGTTGACGACAATGACGAACACTACTTGAAGAAACTGGGGTTTCTGCGCTGCGCTCTGCACCTATGGTGGCTGACGGACTGATATGCCGTCAAATAGGTATATTCGCCTGAGTATATGCGCCGAGTACGACTGCGGACAGCGCGCAGGCGCTTCCAATTGCCACCGACAGCGGCATATGCGCTTCAATTTGGCGCGAGCCATGAACCAAAGTCTGGTACGGCCGGTGAACGATGTTGCGCTTCATGGCTTGAGGTGAAGGACAAAAGCAAGAACTAAAACACATGTAGTATTTTGCCTTTGTTTTGTGCCATTGTAAGTTACACATATGCTCACAAGCTTATTGATAGTTGTTGTGTCTGCAAAAGCCACTTTTGCAAAAATCACTGCAAAAAAGTTAAGAGAGGAAGCAGACCTATGAAGTACAAGCCGAATTCACTTTGCGCACAAAGAAAACTTGATTTACGTGTTTCTTTCGGAAGGAAAATGACGAATAAATAGTGTTGAATAGTAAAAATACATGTTAAGGCTAGTTGTTAGGTTAGGTCATGTATAGAAATAGCGCAAAGAACACAGTTTCTATATTGCTTATGTCAGTATAAATGTATTCGAATTCAAATAAGAGAGGTACGCTGAATAGTACCTTGTTGTTGGTGACGATTTTGAAGTCAAAGAAAACCCTTTTGTATGTAACGGGTGATCCAAATAGAGGTTGTCTTTTCAATAGCCTTTTCGTCATTCGCAGCAACTCGGAGTGACGTATGGAAAGACATAGCTCATTTTACTTCGGGATCTTAAAATCAAAGCATACAAAATATAGCTTTTTCAAGAAGTGAAGCCACTTAACCTTCCCAAACAACATCGCTTCTCTCTATTTGCTTTTGGAAAGTTCCAAGAAAATCCGACGTTTTAAGCTAAATTTTGTTCAGCGATGAGGCCCACTTCTGGCCAATGGGTATGTAACGAACAGCAACCTTAAGCGATGTAAGAGCTGTCATTTCATCTAGAAAAAACAACAGTTTGGTCAGGTTTGTGAACAAATGGAATCAGCGGTCCATATTTCTTCAAAAATTATATCGATGATAACATAAATTGACAGCCGTGATAACTTCATTGTGAGTTACTTTGCCGCAAATAAAATAAAACTATCATGCAGAAGCATGGACGATGAAAATAGCTGATGGTTCTTTGCTCAATGCCAACTACCGCAGTCGATGAGCTGTGCGAAATATACGACGACATTGACATTGCTCTGCGTATCAAGAGACAGCGACTGCGCTGGCTAGCTCATGTTGTCCGTATTGATGAAAGCACTTCAGCTTTGACAGTTTTCGATTCAGTACTCGGCGGTGGGATCAGAGGAAGAGGAAGATATCCATTCCGTTGGAGAGATCAACTCGGCTATAACCGCATGAGCTTTGTCGACGCCAATAAGGAAGAAGAAGAATAGTCGAATAAGTAATGAATCCAGTCATGACACACACATTTTCATTCTTTCTCTTGCCTATTCATAGACACTTTATTACTTTAACCTAAATCTGTGGAATCTATTTTACACTCTTCATTAGCCCCACACATTGTGGAAAAGACAATATTCCAGGACAAGTTTACACCTCATTGTAATCTGTCCACAAAACTTTAATCATCTTCCGAAGGTAATCCAAACTTCCAAATATATTACTAACACAAATTAATACATCTAACGGTTATTAGAATCGGTTCGAAGATATTCAAATCCTTTACTCAGAGATTAAAAACAATAAGTCTATTATGAATGCTAAGGAGGAGAAAATTGGTCACAAATTGGACAATTGCTGGAATTGCCAGCAACAAAATACTAAATAACAAAATCATAACATTTCTTTCTTCACCATATTCAGCTCTTATGCCACACGAAGATGACTTATTTAAAATTTTAGAACGGATCGATTGTTTCACACTTTAATTGCAGAGAACCACATAGAAAACAACTTGGTCAAAACAAAAATTAATATTAGGAACTTAATTATGACCAAATCATAACAATTCTTTTTTCTTCTATTATTTCTTGGATCTAAATATTCCGAGCTCGGGCTACTCACACAGCTAAAGTGAGTGTATCTATAACAGAATCACCAACTGATTTTTTTTTTATAGTGGAAGTCGAATATCACTGGTTAGTAATCACTTCTTTATTCAAGGTATTGAAATATTTTCTTTAATTTTCCTAGCGCTTAGAGGTATTTTTGCCGCAATGATTACTTTGTCAACATTTTAACCGTCATGTGTTTACTCATCAGCTGCTCAAACAGCTGTTTCGAAACACTAATTTCACTTTCGTTTGGACTTCAGTTAACCGGTTCAAAGCGTCTTAAGGCTAATACATATTATGCTAATGTCGCAGATTCTGTTAAAGCACTCAACAGGAATGCACCGTTAATTGTCAATAACAAAATTATGCGGCCGACAAAACGCAATAACAATATTTTCAATATTTTATTGATACCGAATGAAAACGAAAGTGTAAACGATTTTCAATTGAAGCACTACTTTTCTATAGCAAACTTCGAGGCTCACCTGTAAGCCGAAGGCAGACAGTTCTTTGTCTATGACCTTGAATCGCCAAACGCATAAATTTGTGTAAGCGTGTGTTGGCGGACCTAGTACCCATTTGAGGTCTGCTGCATTGTATCCTCTAAGTGCACGCGTATTGGGGGAAGTCGAAAGCCAAAGTCAAAGCGCCAAATCAATATTCATTGATTGTAAATTCAATTGAAGCTGACGCAAAATACGAGCCAGCTGTTGGTCCGAGCCAAGGCGCTACAGTCGCCGTCACACACTAGCAACCTATAATCAATTCAATAAATAGATCAATAAATACAAAAACAATAGCAACACTAATAAATTTTGTAGTTCGATAATAATAATAGCAACAACAACAACAACCGCTCAGCTGATAGCGCGTGCACTGCGGCAAAGACAGCTGTAGTGACGTTTGCTTAGTCAGTCTAATCAACACCAATAACACTTTTCATGCCATTTCGCCCGCCGCACCGCTTTGAAATGCATGGAACGAGCCAAATATTAATTCTTTGCGCTTTGCTACGGTTTCTTTGCCATATCTTAAAGACTGTGTTTTGTGTGTGCGTGTGTGGCATTGCCACCCCGGTAACAGTTGCTTGCAAGACCGTGGCAAGACATTGCACATTGCGAGACTTTTTTTGTTTTTTGGTACGTGCTATATACGCCGCTGAAGGGGATGAAATTGTATTTTGCGCTGCCTTGCTTTGCTCTGCTTTTTGCAAAGACGCAAAAGTGCAGCGGCTGGTGAGTAGGGAAGCCCTGTTGAGCGACAGCGGCAGCAGCCAGCAGCCGCAAGGAGGAGAGCGCGCGCCATCGCGGCCAGGTGACAGCCAGCAAGGAACGAATGAGGGAATCGACGTACGAACAGCCGAACAAACATACGGACAGACGACATAGCGAAGAATGCATTTGTGGCGCTTCTTATGCGCTTGCCAACAAAATTGCAAGAACAATGACAACAACAACATTAGCTTGCACAAATTTTTCTCGGATTGTGCGCATTTTGCTTGAAGGGAGAGCTCCCGATAACAGGGCATTCATCCCTTAACAGCAGCAGCAACAACAACAACACCAATAAAACAACAACAAGAGCAAGCGTTATTGATGCTAAAGTCCTTAATGAAGCCTTGTGCAAGCATTGCATTTGTGGGATATCCCTCGGCGCACACGTGACACACACACACATACACATTCTGGGGCGATATCTTCGATTTCGCATTAAAGAATTTCATTGCATGTGTCAAATAAATAATTATAAATTTGGCAAGCACCAATTCTTATGTGCTCTCGTGCATTGCGTAAGAATTGCATACCTTTGCATTGAACCGCTACTGTTTGTACTTAAGACTGTAAGCGTGTGTGTGTGTGTGCGAATATGCGTCTGCGCATTGTCTGTGTACAGTGACGCTGTCATTGATTTGTGTCAGGAACCACAAAACAATCTGCGCTTGCACCACCGGCTACCAGTCGTGACGCAACGAAGCGTGTTGCCAAGTTTCTCGAAGTTGATTTTTCCTATTTTCAACATTTATTTCTTGTTTTTGTTTTTGTGTTTTTTTTATGTCTTGAATTTTGTTGATTTTCGGACAGCTCGCATTTTTGGACGTCTTCACACTTTTAGGGGTACATTTCGCTGCAGCAACATTGGCAAACAACAACAATGACGAAGGAGAGTTTCTTAGCGCCACTGTGACAGATGATTACATAAAATTCGCTTCTCTTCCATTATTATACACAATTTCTGTTTGTTCTTAAGTAAAATCTGTAAGTTGACAATAATTGGCGCAGATTAAGGTTTTATATATTTGCGCCTAGGTGTGTGTAGCGCCAGCTTCGCAGCTGCTACTGATTTCGTACTCCCGTTAACTGAAGCGTCTTAAGTCCATCTGTGTTACAGCATTAATTGTATGAACAAACAATTCCACACAGATGGAGGAGAATTGGGGCATCCCTAAACTCAAGTCTTAAGTCTGCCAAACCTGTTTGTTCTGAAGCCAATGACCTGATGTTTTTCATCCGAAGATTTATGTTTCAAAAATTAACTTGAAAGTTCCAAATTTCCAACAGATGACCGATTTCACTTTGGATTCGTCTAACGTGGTATTCACATACCCAACCCACTCAGCTGCTGGGACGCTTGGATAGTTAAGCTTGTTAAGAAGCTGTTGTTGTAGCAACAGCAAACATTCCTGAAGTAATTTCGAGGAATGGTGCCGCGTTAACAGTCTTTTCCTGGAGCGGACGTTAAAAAAGCTTGGCCCACTCGATTGGAAAACTTTCTGTAAGAATAGTATATTACATTCCAATTTTACATTCTGCCTCTCGAAAGCTGTAATAAATTATTGAATTCTAGTTAGCTAAGATATAAGTAGAAGAAAACAGTGCCACGTCTGCCATCTGAAGGATACACCTTAACATCTAAAGAACCTAATGAATCCGGTTAGTATTTTACTTAATATCAAGGTTTCTGACAACATCGAGTTAAATGTCATGTGAATCTAATTCCATGCCGAGGATTAAAATTTAGTTGACAAAACAAAAGATTACAGAGGTAAGTCTAAGAAAAAGTGCCTGCGCCATTGCCGGCTATTATATTAAAATCACTTATAATCAGACCTAGATTCGGATTTCGTAAGTTAGGTTTTGGAAAAAATCTTTCTAATTTGGAATTTGGCAAAAGACACGTAGACTCTGTTTCATTACTGGCATAGATAAGCAGTTTTACGTGGTTACAGCCGAGTAGCCAGCCAGACAGCCAATAAATCCCCAGCAACCACGGAGCATCAGCGTCTGTCACTGTTAACAGGCATAAGTTCGAAGTCATATCTTGGAACCAACAATAATGTCAGCCTCGAAATCCCAAACAGAATAACTCTTGCCAACATGTACTACTACGGACTTAGTAGGGAATTGAGAAGTAAAGTCCTCCCTCGACGAACAAAGAGCAAACTTGACAAGTCCCTCATTGCTCCCGACTTGCTGTATGGTGCGGAAGTATGGACGATGACATCATCTGATGAGTCGACCTTAGGAATTTTTGATATACAGGTTTTGCGGAAGATTTATGGCCCTTTGCGCTTTAGAAACAGCAAATACCGCAGTCGATGGAGCGAAGAGTTGTACAAGATATACGATGATATTGAGATAGTTTAGCGAATTAAAAGAGAGAGGGGCTACACTTTCTAGCTCATGTCATTGGAATGGGTGAAAACACTCCAGCTCTGAGAGTATTCGACGCAGTACCCGCCGAGGGAGCAGAGGAAGAGGAAGACTTGCACCCCATTGGAAAGACTAGGTAAAGAAGGACCTGGCTCTATTTGGAATCTTCAATTGGCGCCCAACAGCCGAAACTGATGCCTATTGTAAATTCGGTAATAACTGTGTAAGCGGTGTCTATGCCAATAAAGAAGAAGAAGAGGTGATTTTTTTCATCGGACCACCGAGCTCGCTTCCTTAATAAACTATGAACTGTTTAATAAGACTTGGAACAGTCTGTGTATGTATGTATGTATTTTTAGTATACAAGAATATGGTTTTTATACTTTCTCTTCTCCAATACAAAGCTTACACTAATATTTCCGTTATTATGAAAAGAGCACATCCGCTCAATACATTAAAGCAAAACATAGCTAAAGAATTTATATTCCGAGTCTGTATTGTAACTAAATCCAGTACTTTAGATGTTTGAAAGTATTTTTTTTTACATTGAGTAAACACTGTTTGCGCTTGCGCAGTACAAATTTTCAACAACAAAAAAAAATACTAAACAATAAAAGAAAGCTGAAATTTCACTATTTCAAAACAGCATACAGCAGCTCATCAGCTCTGACGCACGTACGACGACTTATTTTACAAAACTTATATATGTATACTTATGCTTGTAAAATCTGTGCACATCTCATGCGCTCTTACAACAACAACACAACTTTCAAGTGCCACAAATAAGTTCCCGGGTGAGCGGTGTATATTACCATTAGCAGTTTGCTTGATTGGGAAGCGCCCGCATTCAGTCACACTGCACAGAAGCGTATAACAGCCTGGCGCTGCGCAGCATTAAGCGCTTTGCGGCTATGTAAGTACACATTATATTTGCTGCGCAGGCGCTTTAGAAAGTCACCCCCTAGCGTGGGGTGTTTGTATGTGCGTTACAAATGTGTGTGTACATTTGTAAATGTTTTCCTGTATGTATATGTGTCAGTATGTCTGTCTGCCTAGGCGACGTGCTGCGCGTGGCTGGTTGCACCTGCCTACTACTCATCCATTAAAAGTTCCAAAAACTGTCCACATTTGGGGGTTGCTGTTGTTATGTATGTAATCGGCTGGTGAAAATCACTACAAATAACAGCAACAACATTAACAGCAGCAAAAACAACACTACCACCACCGGGCCACCAGCGAAATCAGCAGCACCAGTCGCTTACATGGCACGACGGGTAGCGGATCGAACAAACTATTCGCGATTACACTTCAGCTTTAGCGCTTCGTTAGCGCCATTGTGCACTGACAAAACGCTCGAACCACCCTACACCTCCAATGCGTCATACACATGTATATGTATGGCTGCATGTACATATATGGCAAATATTCGATTGAAGCTGGTGTTAGCGTTGATTTTTCCCGATGCGCACTGTACTTTCCACCTCCAGCATGTTGGTCGCATGTCACGCGCATGCGCTTTAGCACTTGTTTTAATTCTATTCGTGCGGGGTGTTCTAATCCGCAGGGGTTAATGCGAGCAGGCGCAGCTGCAGGAATTCCCAGTCAGTCGACGTGATTGGCACAACCCTCTAATGGCAAAGCATTTCATTAGCATTCATAAATTCATGGTGGCATTAATGGAAGAGTACACACACACATATGCACTTCGACAACTGTTCAAACAATTGCGAAAAATTAATTTTTCCCACTCAAACAGGAGATACGATCGCTTGAGTGCACCGCAAAACAATAGTTGGTATTAGAGTGGCCCACCAAAATACAGATTACACATTTCACTAAACCGAAAACAACACGAACAGCAACATTTTTACATTTTACAAACATACATTTTCCCTTTATGCCCATATATTCCGGCCACTTTGACAGTTTAATGGATTTTCGTCATACACAACAACATGCATATGTATGTATAAGCTCATTAGGGTTGAGATGAAAATCGAAATTGTTAATTTCTGTCCGGACCAAAATGCTTTAATTAAGCTAATCACGCTTGTAATTGTTTCGACGAATGAAGTTACGCAATGCAATCGAACTTGAAGTTCATC